CTAGGAGAGAGGCAGGCAAGGAACTTGGTTTGCATAATAACAGCTGCATTGGCTTTTTTTGGTTTTGTAATTTCTACCAAATGAGTGATAGGCTTGAACAAGGAGACCCTAACAACACGTGCTATGCACTTACAAAGAAAAATCCACACTCAGACAACAGAGTGATCTTTTTTGATATCCCATCTCTTGGTAACTTGAGGGTAGCAAGCTTCACTTGTTGCTCCAGGTCATGGAGTGAGGTACTGAATTTTTTAAAAGGGCCTCGAATAGCTTGCATAGATTGTAGACTTACTCTCAGTATATGGTACATTGACTATTTTAACGCTTTTACTGGAATGAGCACCTCTTCATAGCATTTTGCTTAGCACCTCTCCCACTCCTTGGTGTAAGCTTGTTGGTGTTTCATGAACATCAGGCTAGAAACTCTCATTTTGTCATTGGCACGGGACGTCACCAAACGTGCATGTGCAAGCCACAGTGCCTTCCTGAAGGCATCACGAGCGTGCAGAGGCGAACCACGAGGGCCTGTGCTACACCAGCTCTTACAGGTGAGCCTTGTTAACTGCTCCAGCCCCACTGCTTGGCACTGGGGAGGGACGGGAGAGGCCCCGTGCCTTCTCAGCCATCTTCTGCAGGTGATGGCTGCAGCCCAGCCATGCTCCGTCCTGCAGGACACGACACTTCAGCGGTGTTGCTGCACGTCATTTACAAACCTGGCACGGCAGTTCGGGAGCAGAGGGTGTGCTGGTCGGCATAACTGGCTCCCAGCTACGTGGCAAGGAGAGAATTTTGTCCTTAATGCTGTATAATACAGACATACACCCTGCAGATGATGACCATCATCGAGTAAAGCTGCCCGTACAGTCCATCAAAAACTGCAAAGCTAATGATGGGCTGGGCAGATAATCGTGGGAGAGTTAATTGTAAGGTTCGATATGCCATCTTGTCAGCAGAGATAAGTTGTCACGTTTTCCACTTGAGCTGAAACTAAATGATTGTAAAATAAGTTATGAGTGTCCTTGGGCCTGTCTGCCAGAATGATGGCTAAGAATACATTCCTGGCCCATCAGTCTCAAGCAGCCTGCTTGATATTTATGCGAACTGAATGTTATTTTATTCCCCCTCTAGTCATGCTTGTCAGCTTCCCGAGTGAAAAGTGAAACTGCTTCTTTGACTCATACTTCAAGTATTGAAGCTCGGAGAGGCTGCAGATTGTTATTATTATTGCTAGTATTATATATTTTTTTGGGTGTGCGTTGAACATTGATGCCCGATTGGGAAGAACTAATGGCTGACATTGAACGTACAGGATGGCTGCAAAACAGCCCATCCCAGCCCAGTGAGACGCGTCTTATGAGTGCTCGTGCCTCTGTCAAAGCTGGTTTAGATGTGGAGTAATGAGGCGCTTGCTTTTTTAATTTGGCGTGCCTTTTTCTTTTCCTTTTTTTATATTTAATAGCGCCGGCAGTGGTCGTCTGTTCTCACGCGTGGTAATTGATACAAAATAAAATGCATTATTTGTATTCAGTCAGGAGTATGAAATTGCTTTCAGCGGGCTGAAGCCTGAACTCATTTACAGTTTTCCGAAGCAGGGCTTTCAGGAGCCCTCTTTTCAATTTGAAGAATACCTTGTCAGGCAAGAGAAGTAGTGGGAAATGGGAAAGCACGGCGCGTAAGCCTAGCACGTTTTGATTGCTCATATTTTAAGCTGGTGGAATGTTAAATAACTCCCATCTCCAAAGGGTGGTCCGGGAAGCTGGGATGCAATGCGGGGCGTTCGTGCACCAGCAGCATCAGCTCGGCACCTGCATACAGGCGATGCGTTCCCCTCCTGGTTAGGGGGAGGGAATACCTCGGGCTCTTCCCGTCAGCACGGCGTGACCCAAGGACAGCAGGTTATTACCAGGCTGTTATTCCCTGGAAAGGGCTGCGGAGCACGAGGATTTACCGTAGTAGGGTAATTCTTCAGGTCCGCAGCGCGAGTAGTTGGACTGCACGTTTATAAGCATCATCGTTTTTCAGAGCTCATAAACAGGCTTTGTTTGCATAATTTATAGTCCGGAAATTGGACTAAGCTGCAGTAAGCACACAGCTTTACATGAGTGTTTTTGAGCAAGGAAGGGTTTTGGAGGATGCCCCTCCGTGTGCTACTGGGAGGGCTTGCAGATGTACACAGAGCTGTTACGAATTTGCCTTTTTTTTTTTTTGGAAATCTGACTGTAGCTTACAACAAGCTCTCAACCATTGTGCCTGTAAGAGCACTGAAACATACACTCTGCCGTTTTGTGGCACAGTGTGGTTTCTTCTCCATTTCACAGGTCCTGCTCAGGGCATCATGACTGACGTTCAGGCTGTCGTACAGCGATGAACGCAGCGTGCGTACTCCAGCCCCACAGAAGGAAACACTGGCAAACTTAGGCATGCAGCTCCAATATTTGGGAGCAGCCTTTTGAAAGGCATGGGGGAGACTGGTAGAGATGAGTTTTCCTGGATGTTTTCTCCCCCTAGTAAAACAGGATAATTTTTTTTTTTTAAGTGAAAGCTGAGAACTAGAGGCCTGTCTGTGTGCTACATTCCTCGTATTATCTGAGGGGGGGAAGTGAAGCATTTTTGAGAAATTATATTACACTGTTGCTGGCATACTCTCTGGGATTTGTCCATGATATTTATGAATTGCCGTGTCCTGGTGTGTTTTTCTTGATTTAGAAAGCAAATTAAAATCAACGAGACACAGAGTTTGCTACCACATATGAGCAGCACCTTGCAGCATCCAACTCTGCAGCTGACCTGTCTCAATATGAGAATTTTCATTTCATTGCTGTAAAGTTTGGTGTTTATTTTTGTTTTATTTTATTTTTATGTGCCCAATGTAGGAAGCCTTCCCAAGTCTCTAACTGGAGGAAAATATTTAGACCTGGAAGTAATGAACTTGCGTCCTTGTTCATGCCTCTGTATTGCTGTCACCCTCTTGTGAATCTCCCCTTCTTTCAGTGTCAGGGAGTAAAAGGTGCCAGTAGCCCCTTTGCCAAATGCATGCTGAGCACGGGCTTGGATTCTTAACAGGGTTTGCCTTCCTCTCCACTTGGAGAGGTGGTAAAGCTTTCAACATTTCTTGTTCAAATACTTAAAAAAAATCTCCTGTACAGGTATATACTTCCTTTTGTGGGTAAATACTTGGTTATTGGTTTCAGAATAGGAGGCATAGGGAATAAGAACAAAAATCCTTTCTATAAAGGCTATGGATGGACTTTGATTTGGGCCTCATTGACAGCCAATTAACTATATAATATGTCCTGCACCAATAATTTGCAGCTCAACTTCAGTAAAACCTATTAAATAAACTTTAGAACAATAAATAAAAAAATGTTTCTTTACCAAATTGACATTTGTACAGGGATTTAACTACTCAAAAAATAACATGAAAATCTACTTTTTAAATAGTCTCTGACTTGACATTTTTGTAATGTTTTAATTTATCTGAAGTGCAGCCCTGGTTTGGTGTCTAACCAAGGTTCTGGAGATGGCTTCCATTTAAATAATGTCCAGCACTTCAAGTAAAGTATAGAAGTTACATGGAATTAATATATATTGAAATGTGTTTAGCACTAATCACAGCCAGAAAATCATTTGCTATTAAACTAAAATCACATTGCCAGCCTTGGGGAAAAATACTAGATTAAGGTTACTTCAGTACTTGCTATGTAAAAGAACTCAGGCAGTGACTAAAACTTGAAGCACATCCTCATTTGCTAAATTTTTGTTAAATATTGCTGTTAGATGTTTCTTGGCTGAAAAAGAGAGAGAACTAGCTGTGTTTCTTGCAATTGTTCTTAATGTCCTTTCAGTTCATATCAAGATATAAGTGGGTTTTGAGATGTATTTTTTTTGAGTTCTTAGTGGGTAAGAGATGCTGAGGATCACAGTTCCAGTGCATATCAGGTGATTTGTTCTTTTGGGGTTTTATCCTAGCAAAGAAATGAGAAGATTGGTTTGTTGTTTATTAAAAATGCACGACCTGTCTGAGTTGGCCTTCACTTCCTTTGTCACTTTGATATCAAGCAGAGTGGCAGGGAGTGCTTGATCCACTGATCTGTCTGTCCTCAGCCTGGGGGGAGTCTGCTGGTGCCAGTGCCTGTTACAGCCCTTTGCACTGAGATCCAACAGAGATTTCAGTCAGTCTGTGTGGATGAAAACTCCTTGGTTATCGGACAGCAAGTTTGTCCTGGGACATGCTGTGGCCCCAGGGAGGTCATTTTATTTTGTGCTGCTCAGGTGTTACTATAGTGTATTACTACCAGCCATTACATGGGCCAGGGAGTCGACTGCGGGTCTCTGCTGATGAGCAAGAGGCATCATCAGCCTTTCATATTTATTTGGTTGTATGGGCTACTTCGTGGGGATGGGTGAAAATTACTTGGTCATTAGGTCTTAAAACTGTGCTATGTTGTGCTACCATAGAAAATACAGTGGGAAGCTAAACAAGCTACTGAACGTGGGGTTTTTTGCTTATTGGGAGCATGTAATAAGTGACCTGTTACTACACAATATTAATTTTACCACGCATATGTGAGTTGCACATATGGAAAAAGAGAGTTGTTTTTCCATCTTGATTATTTCTACCACCTCATCTTTGTGTGTCTGTCTCTAATATTAAACAGAAGCAGATAGTGAGCGTACAGTGGTTGTTGTGGTGACTCTGTACCATTTTGTATTAAAATGTCCTAGCACTACATGAGTAAATTTGAGGGTTAGTAAGATTTTTGTAAGAAAGAGCAATTGAAAGTAATAAACTGATTTCCAAGTTGCGTATCTGTACCTTTTTGCAAAAGTAATGGATATTGTTAGAGGCTCTCCTGTAGTCACTGGAAGTCAAAGAGCTCAAGAGGTTAGCTGCTAACAGATAGTAAGGAGTTATATCTTGGATTCTAGAATCATTAATTTAAGTGATGCAGTATTTTTCCTTTTTATTTATTTATTTATTTTTTTTTCCCAAACTGCAGATACCGGGTTAGGAGATTCTGTGTGTTCAAGCCCAAGTATATCCAGTACAACCAGCCCCAAACTCGATCCGCCTCCTTCACCTCATGCCAACAGAAAGAAACATCGCAGGAAGAAAAGCACCAGCAATTTCAAAGCTGATGGTATCTCAGGCACAGCTGAAGGTAAGCTTACTGGAAGGTCTCAATTTAGATAATATTTTGTCATTTATTCCAAAGGGCATTGTTAAGTACGACCCAACTGTGTTGTTGGTTTTGCATACAGAAGTTAAACAATTATATTTAAACAGATAAATTAAAGACGGATCTTCTAATGATGAAGCTCAGTGATATGTCGCGTGACAGCAAATTCTGCTGTCTGAAACATGTTTGGAAACAATTTTTTTAATTAAAAAAAAAGTCTCCCCAGGCTGATACGGAGCATCATTAGTGGTAAAGGTAAGGTACAGGCATACTTGTAAGGTTTAAAAAGAAAGAAGTCAGATTCACTCAATAGCCTATACATCATATTAGAATTTGTATATTTTCTCAGTGTTATTAAATCTAGTGTTACCTCTTCTGCTTAGACACATCTTGTGCTCTAGAATTGTGAATGCTTCTGATGCCCCTTATTGTTTGAATATTCAGCTGCTCAGGGAAAGATTATGTTATTTGAGGATAAAAAGGAAAGGGGAGAGTTTAAATGTTTGGGTTCTTTTATAAGAACCAGAAAGCAAAAGCCAAAAAGAACTTCTTTTTTTCCCTTAGTTTAGCTTACTATTTCCAACATGAGCACTGCTATAGCTGTTCAATGCCTTTCTGAAGGAGTAACAATGTGTACAGTGGCCAGGTATGATATAAAACATGCTTGTATCTTTAGAAAAGAAGAAAAGAAACATGCTAGGATTCAGCCAAAAGAGCTCCAGAAAAAAAGATGAACAAGGGTAGTTGGAAAGCTCAGAAACTGGGGAGTCAACATATAAGGAGAGATGAAAAAGGGAGACAATGGAATAACCTTGTTGGAAAAAGGGGAGTGTTAAGTAAGAAAAAGATGTGGTTGTAAGCATTGGAGAGTAAAAAAATAAAAAATAAAAAAATATAAAAAAACAGCAAATTCAGTATCAAAGAGTGTTGGAACAAGTTCTGAAAAAAGGATGACAATTGCAGACAGCTGAAGAGGCATTAAAAATAGATGTGATAATAGTATACAACTGAGAAGGGGCATGTTAACTACTACTTAGTCATCCTTATTTTCCATTTATTTAATTTCCCAATTGCACTTCTATCACATACAGAATTTATTTCCTCAACTATCTATACAAATCCTTTTAAAAAAAAAAAAAAACAACAGCCTTTTTCATAATGGCTCCTGTTGTGTTCTCTTTCCAGTCATTTAACTATCTTTACTGTTAGTTTCCCCCTAGTTATGGCCTGCAGCCAAATTTTATTTTAAACTTCCATTTTTAATTTATCCTTTTTTTAACAATCCCCTTTACACCACTTATTTTCATACCTCAATGGCAAGTTACAGAGGGGATTTTTCAGAGCACTCACCATTTGTCCACGAGTATTTTGTGGAAGTCAATATGAATCAAGACCAGCTGGGTATCAAAAGCCTTTGAAAATCTCTTTCTAAGTAGTTAATGCATGTATGTTTTCTTTCTCCTGGTGAGCTTATTTTCACAAGTCACTGGAGCCTGAGCCTGTGTGGTCCTGGTCTGCAGGGAGACTTTTGAAGCACAGCAAGCAGTCGGGGATTTGCAGTTGTTGTGCACCTTGCCCTGAAATCCCTCTTCTGATTGGAGTGAGGAGTACGGGGCTCCTTTATCTGTCTGTTTTCTCTTCCTCTTCTCCTTCTCTTCCAGCATCTTAACATGCTGGTCTGAAATCCTTTTACAATAACTTTACAAAACTGCCTCACTTCATATAAATGGGATAAACATGCTTTCAGAAGGGCAAGGACTAAATGATAAGCAACACCAAATCTTACATGGGCGGTTCTTAAAAGTAGCCATGAGTGCTGACATCTGCTATTACAGCCTCTCTATCTTGACATTAGCACGTTAGCTTTCATTGACCTGCCCCATCGTGCCGCATGTCTTCTGCCATGGGCACCCTTTGGGGTTCACAGCTGCCTGAGTGGTTTTAAGCTGTCTTGGGTGGGCCACAGTGGTTATTAAATTCTTTTATCTTTAAAATATCTCAGAACACAACCCAGTGAAAAGCTACTGATGGCCACAAGATCATTGAGAGGAACTCTGGGCACCTTCAACAGGTGACTAATCTTCCTGGCCTTTGAATTCATAGCAAGGTTAGAGGAGATGGTTAGGACAACCAGCATTATCTGCCAACAGCGAAAGAGAAGCAGTGACACCTGCTTGAGCTCCCTGCCCTTTGAGAAGGGTGTCTCAGAAAAACGAGTACATGTTGTAGATGCCCATAAAGTACTTTCTATAAAGACTAACAAAGGACGGAGAGGTGGTTTTGTTGTTTCGTTTTGTGGGTGTTTTTTTTGTTTGTTTGTTTTTTCTTTCAAGTTCTGGCATGTGGCTGCTTGCAACCTTTGTTAGTGACAGTTCATCTTTATTTTCTGGTGCTCATGTTAGTGCAGGCCAAGAGTCATGTTTGGTAGCCTTTGTCGTTGACCATAGTGGTAGTGTTGACCTCTCTGAGGTTGCAGTGATGCTGAGCAATGGGAATACTTCCAGTCCCGGGACAACCTGTGTCACAAGCCAGCCTGCTGCTAGGGCAGGGTAGTCAGATGCTTCAGGTTGTGATACATTTTTCTCCAAGGTGGGGAAAGTAACATTTTCATGACTGTCCTGTGATGTGAAGTAGTTTTCAGGTCGGTAATTCAGGCTTTTCTCAGGAAAGGCTGAGTTTCTCTTTTCTTCCATGCTTATCTAGAAATCTCCCCAGTGACCTGACAGATTTCCATTTTGATTTTTTTTTTTTTCCTCCACAATTGCAGTAGGCCATAGATTTAAGCCCTCCTAGGTGTTTGGATTGCTGCAGTTTTGCAGACTGATCCAAATTAAGCAGTTTAAGGCCAATGCTCTGAGAGATGCATGCTTAGCCTTGGCAACTCTGATCAAGTTTCTGAGATAAGGCAGGTAACTTAGTGAACATGGGGTGCAGAAAGGTGTGTTGATAATGGTGGAAGAGCTACATCTTCCTTCTTTCCTTCATTCTGGAAATCCTGAGCTCACTGTGAATAGGAGGAGGAGGATTCTGCTGGTGTTACCTGCCTGGTGTTATCAGGCAGTTATAGTGGGCCAGAGTTAAATGATTTTGGGTAATTGTAGTTTTTATGTTGCTTTCCTTTGAGCCCAGGCATCTTCCAAGTGTCAGCTTTCAAACAGGGTTCTTCTGGGTTCCTGCATTTCTGTCTGTAGCAGAGCTTCAGGGAGGTTCGGTCAGGTTCAAACCTGGTCTTCAGCAAACTGTAGCAATTCTGCTACATTTGTCAGTCTTTTTTTCTTCTTTAACGTGCCTGCTTTGATTGTTGACCTCTGCCCGAGTATTCAGGTATCGTGATGATGGACACTAGTGTGCCCAGAGTGGTATTAGTCAGCCACTCCAAGGACTGATGCTTGTCTCTTTTATACCCTTCCATAAAGATTATGCCGAATCTTTCTCCACGCTATCTGCAGATGCACAGCCCTCTCTTCCTAGGATTTATTCTTCCACGTTACTTTATTTCTCTTCCTACTGGTTTTCTAGGAAGAAGATTGCAGCAACAAGAATGCTCAAACAGTTGTGCTGCAGTTGGGTGAAAATTAAAATTCAGTTCCTATTTTGGAAAATCAGGTTCTTGTGAAATTTTCCCAAGTGCAATGAAACCCAGAGAGAAGGGTTTTTTATTTCTCTATACAAGACTTGTCACTGAAAAAAAATCCTCTGTTTTTGAGGGTAACAGCAGGAATGCTTACATTAGGCAAGGTGCCAGAAACCAACAGTGTTTTTCCCACCATGCTGTCTATACTTGCTCAGAGCAGGATTGTACAGTGCTGTGTTTCAAAGAGGAATAGCTGCTCAGAGCCTGGTCTGTTTTGGTACCCTTGTGCTACCGCAGATATGGAACAGCCAGTGATAATAGGAACATTTTTCAGCTTGAAAACAACTAGAAAAAATGAAAAGCTTTCCTGTAAGTACTCTTCACAGAAAGATATTTGCCAATGTTTTATTTTTCTTACTCCTGTTAGGATCTGTCTTTTAAGACTTCATGGCTATGGCAGCTTCAACCTGCCCACTTTCAATCCATGTTGGAGCTGCAGAAAGCCCATTTCAAGAGCTATAGAAAGCTCAAGGCATGGTATCATCGAGTCTTGGATGATCAATGCTTTGCAAGTGTTTCCATGATTAGAGCTGGCCAATGTGGCCAAATTTTCGATCTGTTATAGGGAGCTGTCTGACTGTGTCCAGGTAGATGGGTGAACACGTTTCTTGAGTCAGGCAGATCCAAATCAGCTGCAGGCACGGTGCCCTTAATTTATCTTCTTTCCCAGCAGTGTAGGCAAAGTAAGTATAGCTTGGCATTCCCCTTTGTGCAGACATAGCCTGAGAAAAAGGAATTGATGGTAGAGTAATAAATGTGATTAGTGGCTTGGTAAACTTTCCAAACCCTGTATTTTCTCTGCAAATCCATGTTCCACATTCTTTATCACTGGTTTCTAAAGAACATGTGAAGGACAAGGAGAGTCCTTTTATGTTTCTTTTTAGAGCTGTTTTCTCTACACAAAGATGGTTTGTTCTCTGCCCCTTGTAGAAGTGATTGTTTTTCCCTCTGCTTCTCTGATCCCTGCAGTCTAGCCCTAGGTGTACACTTCCTGGCTGGTAACTTAGGATGAACCCAAGTTTACTGATAAATTCTGGGTTTTGTTTTCCTATGGTAAACTAATATATGTATTTGAAAAGCTTGTGTTCTTCTCCACCATGTTTTATAACACTGAAGTAGTTCTTGTTACATGAATCTCAGGGAGCATTGAAAATGAGATAGTTGCATTTGAAATGAAAATACGTTTATTTGTTTTCTGCAAAAATAGGGCTTAGTCGGACCTTCGTACTTTCAGCAATAAGCAAAAAACTTCACTGCTTTCATCTAGTGTGTCAGTTGAGGGGGGACTTGAGTCCAGAAGGGTAAGACAATGTGCAAAAAGCCAAGGGAGACAGCACTGTATTCCCCG